TGAGCATACAGCCCCCCCCATCCATACCGGGCCCTAATCTGAGCATACAGCCCCCCCATCCATACTGGGCCCTAATCTGAGCATACAGCCCCCCCATCCATACCGGGCCCTAATCTGAGCATACAGCCCCCCCCCCCATCCTTACTGGGCCCTAATCTGAGCATACAGCCCCCCCATCCATACCGGGCCCTAATCTGAGCATACAGCCCCCCCATCCATACCGGGCCCTAATCTGAGCATACAGCCCCCCCCCCATCCATACCGGGCCCTAATCTGAGCATACAGCTCCCCCCAACCCTGAGTGCTGGATGTTGGAATCCTAAACCCGTCCCCCCCCCCCCCCCCCCCAATGATGTCACTGTGGCCCTAATGGTGACCCCATACAGATCCCCCGGTGTTCCCCCCCAATCCATGTCACTGTGGCCCTCCCCCCCAATGATGTCACTGTGTGCCCCCCCCCCCAATACCGGGCACTGTGTGCCCCTCCCCCCGCCATGCAGTATTATCTCACTCAACCTGGGAAGAAGACGACCTGCTTGCTTTTAACTGTAAAGAGAGAGAAAATAGGAGATTGAGAGATGAAGACAACCGAGCGACCCCCATCCTGATCCCTACAAACCCCCATCCTGAGCCCTACAACCCCCATCCTGATCCCTACAACCCCTAATCCTGATCCCTACACCCCCATCCTGATCCCTACAGCCCTCTCACCCCCATCCTGATCCCTACACCCCCATCCTGATCCCTACACCCCCCATCCTGATCCCTACAAACCCTCCCCCCCGATCCTATCCCTACACCCCCATCCTGATCCCTACAGCCCCACCCCCATCCTGATCCCTACACCCTCTCCACCCCCATCCTGATCCCTACCGGGCCCCCATCCTGATCCCTACATACCATCCCTACACCCTCTCCCCCATCCTGATCCCTACACCCCCATCCTGATCCCTACACCCTCTCACCCCCATCCTGATCCCTACACCCCCATCCTGATCCCTACAGCCTCTCACCCCCATCCTGATCCCTACACACCTTCTCACCCCCCATCCTGATCCCTACACCCTCTCACCCCCATACCTGATCCCTACACCCCCATCCTGATCTCTACACCCTCTCACCCCCATCCTGATCACTACACCCCCATCCTGATCCCTACACCCTCTCACCCCCATCCTGATCACTACACCCCCCATCCTGATCCCTACACCCCCATCCTGATCCCTACACCCCCATCCTGATCCCTACACCCTCTCACCCCCACCCTGATCCCTACACCCTCTCACACCCCATCCTGATCCCTACACCCCCATCCTGATCCCTACACCCCCTCTCACCCCCATCCTGATCAGTACACCCTCTCACCCCATCCTGATCCCTACACCCTCTCACCCCCCATCCTGATCCCTACACCCCTCACCCCCACCCCCATCCTGATCCCCAACACCCCCATCCTGATCCCTACACCCCCATCCTGATCCCTACACCCCTCTCACCCCCATCCTGATCCCTACACCCACTCACTCCCCATCCTGATCCCTACACCCCCCATACCCTGATCCCTACAGCCTCTCACCCCCATCCTGATCCCTACACCCCTACCCCATCCTGATCCCTACACCCTCTCACCCCCATCCTGATCCCTACACCCTCTCACCCCCATCCTGATCCCTACCTACACCCCCCATCCTGATCCCTACACCCTCTCACCCCCATCCTGATCCCTCTCACCCCATCCTGATCCCTACACCCTCTCACCCCCATCCTGATCCCTCACACACCCCCATCCTGATCCCTACAGCCTCTCACCCCCATCCTGATCCCTACACCCTCTCCCCACCCCCATCCTGATCCCTAACCCCCATCCTGATCCCTACAGCCTCTCACCCCCATCCTGATCCCTACACACCCCCATCCTGATCCCTACACCCTCTCACCCCCATCCTGATCCCTACACCCCCATCCTGATCCCTACAGCCTCTCACCCCCATCCTGATCCCTACACCCCCATCCCTGATCCCTACACCCCTCACCCCCATCCTGATCCCTACAAAACCCCCATCCTGATCTCTACACCCTCTCACCCCCCCTCCTGATCACTACAACCCCCATCCTGATCCCTACACCCTCTCACCCCCATCCTGATCACTACACACCCCCATCCTGATCCCTACACCCTCTCACCCCCATCCTGATCCCTACACCCCCATCCTGATCCCTACACCCTCTCACCCCCACCCTGATCCCTACACCCTCTCACCCCCATCCTGATCCCTACACCCCCATCCTGATCCCTACACCCTCTCACCCCCATCCTGATCAGTACAACCCCTACACCCCCCATCCTGATCCCTACACCCTCTCTCCCCCCCCATCCTGATCCCTACACCCTCTCACCCCCATCCTGATCCCTACACCCCCATCCTGATCCCTACACCCCCATCCTCGATCCCTATCCCCCTCTCACCCCCATCCTGATCCCTACACCCACTCACCCCCATCCTGATCCCTACAAACCCCCATCCTGATCCCTACAGCCTCTCACCCCCATCCTGATCCCTACACCCTCTCACCCCCATCCTGATCCCTACACCCTCTCACCCCCATCCTGATCCCTACACCCTCTCACCCCCATCCTGATCCCTACACCCCCATCCTGATCCCTACACCCTCTCACCCCCATCCTGATCCCTACACCCTCATCCTGATCCCTACACCCTCTCACCCCCATCCTGATCCCTACAACCCCCATCCTCCTATCCCTACAGCCTCTCACCCCCATCCTGATCCCTACACCCTCTCACCCCCATCCTGATCCCTACAGACCCCCCATCCTGATCCCTACAGCCTCTCACCCCCATCCTGATCCACACACCCCCATCCTGATCCCTACACCCTCTCACCCCCATCCTGACACACCCCCATCCTGATCCCTACACCCTCTCACCCCCATCCTGATCCTACACCCCCCCCATCCTGATCCCTAAACCCTCTCACCCCCATCCTGATCACTACACCCCCATCCTGATCCCTACACCCCCCATCCTGATCCCCTCTCACACCCCCATCCTGATCCCTACAACCCTCTCACCCCCATCCTGATCCCTACACCCTCTCACCCCCATCCTGATCCCTACAACCCCCATCCTGATCCCTACACCCTCTCACCCCCCATCCTGATCCCTACACCACCCTCTCACCCCCATCCTGATCCCTACAACCCCTCTCACCCCCCATCCCTGATCCCTACACCCCCTCATCCTATACCCCCATCCTGATCCCTACAACCCCCATCCTGATCCCTACACCCTCTCACCCCCATCCTGATCCCTACACCCCTCACCCCCATCCTGATCCCTACACCCCCCCCATCCTGATCCCTACAGCCTCTCACCCCCATCCTGATCCCTACACCCTCTCACCCCCATCCTGATCCCTACAACACCCTCTCACCCCCATCCTGATCCCTACACCCTCTCACCCCCCCATCCTGATCCCTACACCCTCTCACCCCCATCCTGATCCCTACACCCCCCCATCCTGATCCCACACACCCTCTCACCCCCATCCTGATCCCCTACACCCCCATCCTGATCCCTACACCCCCTCTCCCCCATCCTGATCCCTACACCCTCTCACCCCCATCCTGATCCCTACAACCCCCATCCTGATCCCTACACCCTCTCAACCCCCATCCTGATCTCTACACCCCCATCCTGATCCCTACACCCTCTCAACCCCATCCTGATTCCACAACAACCCCCCATCCTGATCCCTACAGCCCCCATCCTGATCCCTACACCCTCTCACCCCCATCCTGATCCCTACACCCCCATCCTGATCCCTACACCCTCTCACCCCCATCCTGATCCCTACACCCTCTCCCCCCATCCTGATCCCCACCACCCCCATCCTGATCCCTACACCCCCATCCTGATCTGGATCCCCACACCCTCTCACCCCATCCTGATCCTACACCCTCTCACATCCTGATCCCTACACCCACCCATCCTGATCACCTACACCCCCATCCTGATCCCTACACCCTCTCACACCCCCATCCTGATCCCTACACACCCTCTCACCCCCATCCTGATCCCTACACCCCCATCTGATCCCTACAACCCCCATCCTGATCCCTACACCCTCTCACACCCCATCCAGACCCCCACCCCCATCCTGATCCCTACACCCTCTCACCCCCATCCTGATCCCTACACCCCTCCACCCCCCCCCCTGATCCCTACACCCCCATCCTGATCCCTACACCCTCTCACCCCCATCCTGATCCTCTACAACCCCCATCCTGATCCCTACACCCCTCTACACCCCATCCTGATACACCCCCATCCTGATCCCTACAGCCCCCATCCTGATCCCTACACCCTCTCACCCCCATCCTGATCCCTACACCCCATCCTGATCCCTACATCACCCCCATCCTGATCCCTACACCCTCTCACCCCCATCCTGATCCCTACAACCTCTCCCATCCTGATCCCTACACCCCCATCCTGATCCCTACACCCTCTCACCCCCATCCTGATCCCTACACCCCCATCCTGATCCCCTACACCCTCTACACCCCCCATCCTGATCCCTACACCCACTCACCCCCCATCCTGATCCCTACAAAACCCCCATCCTGATCCCTACACCCTCACCCCTCCATCCCTACACCCCATCCTGATCCCTACACCCCCATCCTGATCCCTACACCCTCTCACCCCCATCCTGATCCCTACACATCCTGCCCCCATCCTGATCCCTACACACCCCCATCCTGATACCTACACCCCCTCACCCCCATCCTGATCCCTACAGCCCCCATCCTGATCCCTACACACCCCTCTCACCCCCATCCTGATCCCTACACCCTCTCACCCCCATCCTGATCCCTACACCCCCATCCTGATCCCTACACCCCCATCCTGATCCCTACACCCCCACCCCCATCCTGATCCCTACAACCCCCACCCTGATCCCTACACCCCCACCATCCTGATCCCTACACCCACTCACCCCCATCCTGAATCCCTACACCCCTCATCCTGATCCCTACACCCCTCTCACCCCCATCCTGATCCCTACACCCTCCTCACCCCATCCTGATCCCTACAACCCCCATCCTGATCCCTACAGCCCCATCCTGATCCCTACACCCCCATCCTGATCCCTACACACCCCCATCCTGATCCCTACAACCCTCTCACCCCCATCCTGATCCCTACACCCCCCATCCTGATCCCTACACCCCTCCCCATCCTGATCCCTACACCCCTCGAGGTCACCCCCATCCTGATCCCTACAACCCCCATCCTGATCCCTCCTGATCCCTACACCCTCACACCCCCATCCTGATCCCTACACCCTCTCACCCCCATCCTGATCCCTACACCCCCATCCTGATCCCTACACCCCCCATCCTGATCCCTACAGCCCCCATCCTGATCCCTACACCCCCATCCTGATCCCTACACCCTCTCACCCCCCATCCTGATCCCTACACCCCCATCCTGATCCCTACACCCTCTCACCCCCATCCTGATCCCTACACCCCCATCCTGATCCCTACACGCTCTCACCCCCATCCTGATCCCTACACCCCATTCCTGATCCCTACACCCCCATTCCTGATCCCTACAACAACTCACCCCATCCTGATCCCTACAACCCCCATCCTGATCCCTACACCCTCTCACCCCCATCCTGATCCCCTACACCCTCTCACCCCCATCCTGATCCCCTACAAACCCCTCACCCCCATCCTGATCCCTACACCCTCTCACCCCCATCCTGATCCCTACAGCCCCCAACCTGATCCCAAACCACCCCCTCACCCCCATCCTGATCCCTACAGCCCCCATCCTGATCCCTACAACCCCTCACCCCCATCCTGATCCCTACAACACCCTCACAGCCCCATCCTGATCCCTACAACCCCTCACCCCCATCCTGATCCCTACACCCCCCATCCTGATCCCTACTAACCCCTCACGACCCCATCCTGATCCCTACACCCTCTCACCCCATCCTGATCCCTATAGCCCCCTCCTGATCCCTACAGCCCCCATCCTGATCCCTATAGCCCCATCCTGATCCCTCTCACCCCCATCCTGATCCCTACAGCCCCCATCCTGATCCCTACACCCCCCCATCCTGATCCCTAACCCTCTCACCCCCATCCTGATCCCTACACCCCCATCCTAATCCCTACACCCTCTCACCCCCATCCTGATCCCTACAGCCCCCATCCTGATCCCTATAGCCCCCATCCTGATCACTACAGCCTCTCACACCCCCATCCTGATCCCTACCACCCCCATTCTGATCCCTACACCCTCTCACCCCTATCCTGATCCCTACAGCCCCCATCCTGATCCCTACACGCTCTTACCCCCATCCTGATCCTCTACACCCCACATTCCTGATCCCCACACCCTCATCCTGATCCCTCACACCCTCATCCTGATCCCTACAGCCCCCATCCTGATCCTTACACCCTCTCACCCCAAACCCTGATCCATACAACCCCCCTCACCCCCATCCTGATCCCTACCCTACTCACTCTCACCCCCATCCTGATCCCTACAGCCCCCATCCTGATCCCTACACCCCCCATCCTGATCCCTACACACCCCCATCCTGATCCCTACACCCCCCATCCTGATCCCTACAACCCCTCACCCCATCCTGATCCCTACAACCCCTCACCCCATCCTGATCCCTACACCCCTCACCCCATCCTGATCCCTACACCCCCATCCTGATCCCTACAACCCCTCACCCCATCCTGATCCCTATAACCCCTCACCCCTATCCTGATACCCTACACCCCCCATCCTGATCCCTACAACCCCTCACTCCCATCCTGATCCCTACACCCTCTCACCCCATCCTAATCCCTAAACCCCCCATCCTGATCCCTACACATCTCCCCCAGTACCCGGATGTCTTCTTCATGCTGCTTTCTCTTCTCCTCTCCGCTCAGCTCAGCACTTCCTCATCACACAACTGACAACCACACCCTCTGCTCAGGAGACCCCCGCCCACCCCATACCTTCTGCTCAGTAGACCCGCCCACTCCACACCCTCTGCTCAGGAGACCCGCCCACCCCATACCTTCTGCTCAGGAGACCCGCCCACTCCACACCCTCTGCTCAGGAGACCCTCCCACCCCATAACCTTCTGCTCAGGAGACCCGCCCACTCCACACCCTCTGCTCAGGAGACCCGCCCACCCCATACCTTCTGCTAAGAAGACCCGCCCACTCCACACCCTCTGCTCAGGAGACCCGCCCACCCCATACCTTCTGCTCAGGAGACCCGCCCACTCCACACCCTCTGCTCAGGAGACCCGCCCACCCCATACCTTCTGCTCAGGAGACCCGCCCACTCCACACACCCTCTGCTCAGGAGACCCGCCCACCCCCATACCTTCTGCTCAGGAGACCCGCCCACTCCACACCCTCTGCTCAGGAGACTCGCCCACCCCGGGCAGGAGAGCAAACACAGTGACCTGCCTCTACTGCACCAAACCCCACCGATCCCTACCCCGGGGCCCCCACCGGGACCACTCCCTCCCTACACCGGGACCCCCCCACCTCTCCCTACCTACTCCGGGACCCCCACCGCTCCCTCCCTACCTACCCTGGGGCCCCCACCGCTCCCTACCCCCGGGGCCCCCACCGCTCCCTACCCCGGGACCCCCACCCCTCCCTACCTACCCCGGGGCCCCCACCCCTCCCTCCCTACCCCGGGCCCCCACCGCTCCCTACCCCCGGTGCCCCACCCCTCCCTCCCTACCTACCCTGGGGCCCCCACCCCACCGCTATCCCTACCCCGGGACCCCCACCCCTCCCTACCCCCCGGGGCCCCCACCCCTCCCTCCCTACCCCTAGCCCCGGGGCCCCCACCGGGACCACTCCCTCCCTACACCGGGACCCCACCTCTCCCTACCTACTCCGGGACCCCCACCGCTCCCTCCCTACCTACCCTGGGGCCCCCACCGCTCCCTACCCCGGGGCCCCCACCCCTCCCTACCTACCCCGGGGCCCCCACCCCTCCCTCCCTACCCCCGGGCCCCCCCCCACCGCTCCCTACCCCGGTTGCCCCACCCCCTCCCTCCCTCCCTACCCCGGACCCCCACCCCTCCCTCCCTACCCCGGGACCCCCACCCCCTCCCTCCCTACCCCGGGACCCCCCCCACCCCTCCCTCCCTACCTACCTACCCCGGGACCCCCACCCCTCCCCTCCCTACCCCGGGGCCCCCACCGCTCCCTACACCGGGACCCCCACCCCTCCCTCCCTACCTCGGGACCCCCCACCCCTCCCTCCCTACCCCGGGATCCCCACCGCTCCCTACAACCGGGACACCCACCCCCTCCCTACCCCGGGATCCCCACCGTTCCCTACACCGAGACACCACCCCTCCCTCTCTACCCCAGGACCCCCACCCCTCCCTCCCTACCCCTGGGGCCCCCACCGCTCCCTACCCCCGGGACCCCACCCCTCCCTACCCCGGGACCCCACCCACCCGCTCCCTACCACCCGGGACCCCACCGCTCCCTACCCCGGGACCCCCACCGCTCCCTACCCCGGGACCCCCACCCCTCCCTCCCTACCTACCCTGGGGCCCCCCACCCCTCCCTACCCCGGGACCCCCTCCCTCCCTACCCCGGGATCCCCACCCCTCCCTCCCTCCCTCGGGATCCCCACCCCTCCCTCCCTCCCTACCCCGGGATCCCCACCCCTCCCTCCCTCCCTCCCTACCCCGGGATCCCCACCCCATTCCCTCCCTCCCTCCCTACCCCGGGATCCCCACCCCTTCCCTCCCTCCCCTCCCTACCCCGGGATCCCCACCCCTCCCTCCCTCGGGATCCCCACCCCTCCCTCCCTCCCTCCCTACCCCGGGATCCCCACCCCTCCCTCCCTCCCTACCCCGGGATCCCCACCCCTCCCTCCCTCCCTCCCTCCCTACCCCGGGATCCCCACCCCTCCCTCCCCTACCTACCCCGGATCCCCACCCCTCCCCCTCCCTCCCTATCCCCGGGATCCCCACCCCTCCCTCCCTACCTACCACCCCGGGATCCCCCACCCCTCCCTCCCTACCTACCCCGGGATCCCCCACCCCTCCCTCCCTCCCTACCCCGGGATCCCCACCCCTCCCTCTCCCTACCCCGGGATCCCCACCCCTCCCCTCCCTACCCCGGGATCCCCACCCCTCCCCTCCCTACCCCGGGATCCCCCACCCCTCCCTCCCTCCTCCCTCCCTACCCCGGGATCCCCACCCCTCCCCTCCCTCCCTCCCTCCCTCCCTACCCCGGGATCCCCACCCTCCCTCCCTCCCTCCCTCCCCCCCTCCCTCCCCCCCCCCCCCCCTCCCTACACCCCGGGATCCCCACCCCCTCCCTCCCTCCCTCCCCCCCCCTCCCTACCCCTACCCTTCCCTCCCCCCCCCTCCCTACCCCTCCCTCCCTCCCTCCCCCCCCCCCTACCCCCCCCTCCCCCCCCCGGGATCCCCACCCACCCCTCCCTCCCTACCCCGGGATCCCCACCCCTCCCTCCCTCCCCCTCCCTACCCCGGGATCCCCACCCCTCCCTCCCTCCCTCCCTACCCCCCGGACCCCCACCCCTCCCCCCTCCCCCTCCCTACCCCGGGATCCCCACCCCCTCCCTCCCTCCCTACCCCCGGGACCCCCACCGCTCCCTACCCTGGGACCCCCACCGCTCCCTACCCCGGGACTTCACCCCTCCCTCCCTACCCCGGGACCCCCACCCCCTCCCTCCCTACCCCGGGACCCCCCCCACCGCTCCCTACCCCGGGACCCCACCGCTCCCTACACCGGGACCCCCACCGCTCCCTACCCCGGGACCCCCACCGCTCCCCTCACCGAGACACCACCCCTCTCTCCCTACACCGGGGGCCCGTGTTCAGCATTCATGGAATATACACATTGGATTCATCCCCCCCCCCCCCCCCAACATTGTCCCGGGTTACAGATCCGTGTGCGGCTCCCCCTCCTCCTCCTTAGTACACAGCAACCCCCCCCCCCCAATGTGTACACAGGGAGGGAGGGGATTATAGTCCGTGGGACACTCACCCGTCCCTTCTCCCACCACCAGCCAACAGCAGCCGGTTCCTGGCATCCGCGGAGTCCCGCTTCACGTAGGAGAGCCGCTCTGGAGACAGGGGGCGCCGGACACTGCGGGGGGCAGAGAGCAACATGAGCCTTCATAGATACCCCCAGAGCCTGTATACTGGGGGGGGGAGCAACATGAGCCTTCATATCTACCCCCAGAGCCTGTATACTGGGGGGGGAGAGCAACATGAGCCTTCATAGATACCCCCAGAGCCTGTATACTGGGGGGGGGAGAGCAACATGAGCCTTCATAGATACCCCCAGAGCCTGTATACTGGGGGGGGGGGGGGGGAGCAACATGAGCCTTCATATATACCCCCAGAGCCTGTATACTGGGGGGGGGAGAGCAACATGAGCCTTCATATATACCCCCAGAGCCTGTATACTGGGGGGGGGGGAGCAACATGAGCCTTCATATCTACCCCCAGAGCCTGTATACTGGGGGGGGGAGAGCAACATGAGCCTTCATATCTACCCCCAGAGCCTGTATACTGGGGGGGGGGAGAGCAACATGAGCCTTCATAGATACCCCCAGAGCCTGTATACTGGGGGGGGGAGAGCAACATGAGCCTTCATATCTACCCCCACATCCTGTATACTGGGGGGGGGGGGGAGAGCAACATGAGCCTTCATAGATACCCCAGAGCCTGTATACTGGGGGGGGGGGGGGGGGGAGCAACATGAGCCTTCATATATACCCCCAGAGCCTGTATACTGGGGGGGGGAGAGCAACATGAGCCTTCATAGATACCCCCAGAGCCTGTATACGGGGGGGGGGGGGGAGCAACATGAGCCTTCATATATACCCCCAGAGCCTGTATACTGGGGGGGGGGGGGGGGGGGGGGGGGAGCAACATGAGCCTTCATATCTACCCCCACATCCTGTATACTGGGGGGGGGGGGGGAGAGCAACATGAGCCTTCATAGATACCCCCAGAGCCTGTATACTGGGGGGGGGGGGGGGGAGCAACATGAGCCTTCATAGATACCCCCAGAGCCTGTATACTGGGGGGGGAGCAACATGAGCCTTCATATATACCCCCCAGAGCCTGTATACTGGGGGGGGGGAGAGCAACATGAGCCTTCATAGATACCCCCAGAGCCTGTATACTGGGGGGGGGGGGGGAGCAACATGAGCCTTCATATATACCCCCAGAGCCTGTATACTGGGGGGGGGGGGAGCAACATGAGCCTTCATATCTACCCCCACATCCTGTATACTGGGGGGGGGGGAGAGCAACATGAGCCTTCATAGATACCCCCAGAGCCTGTATACTGGGGGGGGAGAGCAACATGAGCCTTCATATAGATACCCCCAGAGCCTGTATGGGGGGGGGGGGGGGGGGGGGGAGGAGCAACATGAGCCTTCATAGATACCCCCAGAGCCTGTATACTGGGGGGGGGGGGGAGAGCAACATGAGCCTTCATATATACCCCCAGAGCCTGTATACTGGGGGGGGGAGAGCAACATGAGCCTTCATATATACCCCCAGAGCCTGTATACTGGGGGGGGGGCAGAGAGCAACATGAGCCTTCATATATACCCCCAGAGCCTGTATACTGGGGGGGGGGAGAGAGCAACATGAGCCTTCATATATACCCCCAGAGCCTGTATACTGGGGGGGGGCAGAGAGCAACATGAGCCTTCATATCTACCCCCAGAGCCTGTATACTGGGGGGGGGGGAGAGCAACATGAGCCTTCATATATATACCCCCAGAGCCTGTATACTGGGGGGGGGGGGAGAGCAACATGAGCCTTCATATATACCCCCAGAGCCTGTATACTGGGGGGGGGGGAAGTGAGCAACATGAGCCTTCATATATACCCCCAGAGCCTGTATACTGGGGGGGGGGGGAGAGCAACATGAGCCTTCATAGATACCCCCAGAGCCTGTATACTGGGGGGGGGGGGGAGAGAGCAACATGAGCCTTCATAGATACCCCCACAGCCTGTATACTGGGGGGGGCAGAGAGCAACATGAGCCTTCATATCTACCCCCAGAGCCTGTATACTGGGGGGGGGAGAGCAACATGAGCCTTCATATATACCCCCAGAGCCTGTATACTGGGGGGGGGGGGAGAGCAACATGAGCCTTCATATATACCCCCAGAGCCTGTATACTGGGGGGGGGGGGAAGTGAGCAACATGAGCCTTCATAGATACCCCCAGAGCCTGTATACTGGGGGGGGGGGGGAGAGCAACATGAGCCTTCATAGATACCCCCACAGCCTGTATACTGGGGGGGGGAGAGAGCAACATGAGCCTTCATAGATACCCCCACAGCCTGTATACTGGGGGGGGGGGGGCGCAGAGAGCAACATGAGCCTTCATAGATACCCCCAGAGCCTGTATACTGGGGGGGGGGAGAGAGCAACATGAGCTTCATATATACCCCCAGAGCCTGTATACTGGGGGGGGCAGCAGAGAGCAACATGAGCCTTCATATCTACCCCCAGAGCCTGTATACTGGGGGGGGGGAGAGCAACATGAGACCTTCATATATACCCCCAGAGCCTGTATACTGGGGGGGGGGGAGGGGAGCAACATGAGCCTTCATATCTACCCCCAGAGCCTGTATACTGGGGGGGGGGGAAGTGAGCAACATGAGCCTTCATATATACCCCCAGAGCCTGTATACTGGGGGGGGGGGGAGAGCAACATGAGCCTTCATATATACCCCCAGAGCCTGTATACTGGGGGGGGGGGGGCAGAGAGCAACATGAGCCTTCATATATACCCCCAGAGCCTGTATACTGGGGGGGGGGCTATCCTCTGTATACTGCGGGGGGGGGGAGGCTATCCTCTGTGTACTGCGGGGGGGGGGGGGGGAGGCTATCCTCTGTGTACTGCGGGGGGGGGAGGCTATCCTCTGTGTACTGTGTGGGGGGGCTATACTCTGTGTACTGCAGGGGGGGGAGGGCTATCCTCTGTGTACTGCGGGGGGGGGGGGGAGGCTAGCCTCTGTGTACTGTGTGTAGGGGGGGGCTATCCTCTGTATACTGCGGAGGGGGGGGAGCTGTCCTCTGTGTACTGTGTGGGGGGGGGCTATTACTCTGTGTACTGTGGGGGGGGGCTATCCTCTGTGTACTGTGTGGGGGGGGCTATCCTCTGTGTACTGTGTGGGGGGGGGCTATCCTCTGTGTACTGTGTGTGGGGGGGCTATCCTCTGTATACTGCGGGGGGGGGGCTATCCTCTGTGTACTGTGTGGGGGGGCTATCCTCTGTGTACTGTGTGGGGGGGGCTATCCTCTGTGTACTGTGTGGGGGGGGGCTATCCTCTGTGTACTGTGTGTGGGGGGGGCTATCCTCTGTGTACTGTGTGTGGGGGGGCTATCCTCTGTGTACTGTGTGGGGGGGGGGCTATCCTCTGTGTACTGTGTGTGGGGGGGCTATCCTCTGTGTACTGTGGGGGGGGGAGGCTATCCTCTGTGTACTGTGTGTGGGGGGGCTATCCTCTGTGTACTGTGTGTGGGGGGGGCTATCCTCTGTGTACTGTGTGTGGGGGGGCTATCCTCTGTGTACTGTGGGGGGGGGGAGGCTATCCTCTGTGTACTGTGTGTGGGGGGCTATCCTCTGTATACTGCGGGGGGGGGCTATCCTCTGTATACTGCGGGGGGGGGAGGCTATCCTCTGTGTACTGTGTGTGGGGGGGCTATCCTCTGTATACTGCGGGGGGGGGGCTGGCTATCCTCTGTGTACTGTGGGGGGGGCTATCCTCTGTATACTGGGGGGGGGGGGAAGCTATCCTCTGTGTACTGTGGGGGGGGGAGGCTATCCTCTGTGTACTGTGTGGGGGGGAGGCTATCCTCTGTGTACTGTGTGTGGGGGGGCTGTCCTCTGTGTTCTGTGTGGGAGGGGGGCTATCCTCTGTATACTGCGGGGGGGGGGGGGAGGCTATCCTCTGTGTACTGTGTGTGGGGGGGCTATCCTCTGTGTTCTGTGTGGGAGGGGGGCTATCCTCTGTATACTGCGGGGGGGGGGCTATCCTCTGTATACTGCGGGGGGGGGGGGAGGCTATCCTCTGTGTACTGTGTGTGGGGGGGCTATCCTCTGTTGTACTGTGTGTGGGGGGGCTATCCTCTGTGTACTGTGTGTGGGGGGGCTACCCTCTGTATACTGTGTGGGGGGCTATCCTCTGTATACTGCGGGGGGGGGAGGCTATCCTCTGTGTACTGTGTGGGGGGGGGCTATCCTCTGTGTACTGTGTGTGGGGGGGCTATCCTCTGTATACTGTGGGGGGGGGGGAGGCTATCCTCTGTGTACTGTGGGGGGGGGCTATCCTCTGTATGCTGCGGGGGGGGGGGGAGGCTATATCCTCTGTGTACTGTGGGGGGGGCTATCCTCTGTGTACTGTGTGGAGGGGGGCTATCCTCTGTATAGTGCGGGGGGGAGGCTATCCTCTGTGTACTGTGGGGGGGGGGGGCTATCCTCTGTGTACTGTGTGGGAGGGGGGGGCTATCCTCTGTGTACTGTGTGTGGGGGGGCTATCCTCTGTGTACTGTGGGGGGGGGGCTATCCTCTGTATACTGCGGGGGGGGGGGCTATCCTCTGTGTACTGTGTGGGGGGGCTATCCTCTGTATACTGCAGGGGGAGGGCTATCCATCCTCTGTGTACTGTGTGGGGGGCTATCCTCTGTGTACTGTGTGGGGGGGCTATCCTCTGTGTACTGTGGGGGGGGGGGCTATCCTCTGTATACTGCGGGGGGGGGGGCTATCCTCTGTGTACTGTGTGGGGGGGCTATCCTCTGTATACTGTGTGGGGGGGGCTATCCTCTGTATACTGTGTGGGGGGGCTATCCTCTGTGTTACTATGTGGGGGGGCTATCCTCTGTATACTCTGTGGGGGGGCTATCCCCTGTGTACTGTGGGGGGGCTATCCTCTGTATACTGCGGGGGGGGCTATCCTCTGTGTACTGTGTGTGGGGGGGGGGGGCTATCCTCTGTATACTGTGTGGGGGGGCTATCCTCTGTGTACTGTGGGGGGGGCTATCCTCTGTATACTGCGGGGGGGGGGCTATCCTCTGTATACTGCGGGGGGGGGCTATCCTCTGTATACTGCGGGGGGGGCTATCCTCTGTGTACTGTGTGGGGGGGCTATCCTCTGTATACTGTGGGTGGGGGGGGCTATTCTCTGTGTACTGCAGATATCCATGTCGGTATGCCGGGTTCCTTGGACAGTTCCTGGGGGTCACCAGGGGTCCAGGGTCACCAGGGTTTCGGGGGGTCACCAGGGTTTTTCGGGGGTCACCAGGGGTCCAGGGTCACCAGGGTTTCGGGGGTCACCAGGGTTTCAGGGTCACCAGGGGTCGGTATGCGTTCCATTTTCTGCCGCCATTCGCTCTAATGGGCTCCTGGACTTTGAGGTCATGTGACATGGATGGGGGTTGACGTACCTTTTTGAGAATACTGGGGTGCCCCCTTTCTTGGGGGACGATGGTGAGATAGACATGCCGCTCCTCCTGTGGGGGGGTGAGACCATTCTGTGACGAGCGCGGTGGAGGCTTCACTACATGGGCCCCTGAAAAGACACACAATGTATCAGTATGTACAGGAGTGAGGAGTGAGTGGGGGGGGTATGACGGGGGGCACTATGTACAGGAGAGGAGTGTGGGGGGTATGGCGGGGGGGCACTATGTACAGGAGAGGGTCTGTGTGGGGGTATGACGGGGGGCACTATGTAGCGGAGAGGAGTGTGGGGGATGTGACGGTGGGCACTATGTACAGGAGAGGAGTGTGGGGGGTTGTGACGGGGGGCACTATGTAGCGGAGAGGAGTGTGGGGGTATGGCGTGGGGGGCACTATGTAGCGGGAGTGGAGTGTGGGGGTATGGCGGGGGGCACTATGTAGCGGAGAGGAGTGTGGGGGTATGGCGGGGGGCACTATGTAGCGGAGAGGAGTGGGGGGGTGTGACGGGGGCACTATGTAGTGGAGAGGAGTGTGGGGGGGTGTGTGCCGGGGGGCACTATGTACAGTGAGAGGAGTGTGGGGGTGGGGGGGGCACTATGTACAGGAGAGGAGTGGGGGGGTGTGATGGCACTATGTAGGGGATCTGTGGGGGTATGTATGCGGAGAGGAGTGTGGGGGTATGGCGAGGGGGGCACTATGTAGCAGGAGAGGAGTGTGGGGGGGTATGGCGGGGGGCACTATGTAGCGGAGAGGAGTGGGGGGTATGGCGGGGGGCACTATGTAGCGGAGAGGAGTGTGGGGGGTATGGCGGGGGGGCACTATGTACAGGAGAGGAGTGTGGGGGGTATGGCGGGGGGCACTATGTACAGGAGAGGAGTGTGGGGGTATGGCGGGGGGCACTATGTAGCAGGAGAGGAGTGGGGGGTATGGCGGGGGGCACTATGTACAGGAGAGGAGTGTGGGGTATGGCGGGGGGCACTATGTACAGGAGAGGGTGTGGGGGGGCACTATGTAGCGGAGGGGCACTATGTATGGCGGGGGGGAGAGGAGTGTGTGGGGGTATGACAGGGGGCACTATGTACAGGAGAGGAGTGTGGGGGGGTATGGCGGGGGGGCACTATGTACAGGAGAGGAAGTGTGGGGGTATGGCGGGGGGGGCACTATGTACAGGAGAGGAGTGTGGGGGGGTATGGCGGGGGGCACTATGTACAGGAGAGGAGTGTGGGGGGTATGCGGGGGGCACTATGTACAGGAGAGGAGTGTGTGGGGGGTATGGCGGGGGGCACTATGTACAGGAGAGGAGTGTGGCGGGGGGGGGGTATGGCGGGGGGGCACTATGTACAGGAGAGGAGTGTGGGGGGTATGGCGGGGGGCACTATGTACAGGAGAGGAGTGTGGGGGTATGATGGGGGCACTATGTACAGGAGAGGAGTGTGGGGGTATGGCGGGGGGCACTATGTACAGGAGAGGAGTGTGGGGGTATGTACGGGGGGCACTAGGTAGCGTAGAGGAGTGTGGGGTGGGGCGTGGGGGCACTATGTACAGGAGAGGAGTGTGGAGGTATGGAGGGGGGCACTATGTACAGGAGAGGAGTGTGGGGGTATGGGGGGGGCACTATGTACAGGAGAGGAGTGTGGGGGTATGGCGGGGGGCACTATGTACAGGAGAGGAGTGTGGGGGTATGGAGGGGGGCACTATGTACAGGAGAGAGGAGTGTGGGGGTATGGCGGGGGGCACTATGTACGGAGAGAAGTGTGGGGGTATGGCGGGGGGCACTATGTACAGGAGAGGAGTGTGGGGGGTGTGACGGGGGCACTATGTACAGGAGAGGAGTGTGGGGGTATGGCGGGGGGCACTATGTACAGGAGAGGAGTGTGGGGGGGGTATGGCGGGGGGGCACTATGTACAGGAGAGGAGTGTGGGGGGTATGGAGGGGGGCACTATGTACAGAGAGGAGGAGTGTGGGGGTATGACGGGGGGCACTATGTACAGGAGAGGAGTGTGGGGGTATGGCGGGGGGCACTATGTACAGGAGAGGAGTGTGGGGGTATGGCGGGGGGCACTATGTACAGGAGAGGAGTGTGGGGGTATGGCGGGGGGCACTATGTAGCGGAGAGGAGTGTGGGGGTATGGCGGGGGGCACTATGTACAGGAGAGGAGTGTGGGGGTATGGCGGGGGGCACTATGTACAGGAGAGGAGTGTGGGGGGTATGGCGGGGGGCACTATGTACAGGAGAGGAGTGGGGGTGGGGGGGACGGGGGGCACTATGTACAGGAGAGGAGTGTGGGGGTATGGAGGGGGGCACTATGTACAGGAGAGGAGTGTGGGGGTATGAGGAGAGGAGTTGGGTGGGGGGGGGCACTATGTACAGGAGAGGAGTGTGTGGGGTATGGAGGGGGCACTATGTACAGGAGAGGAGTGTGGGGGTATGGCGGGGGGCACTATGTACAGGAGAGGAGTGTGGGGGGTATGGCGGGGGGCACTATGTAGCGGGGAGAGGAGTGTGGGGGGTTATGGCGGGGGGCACTATGTACAGGAGAGGAGTGTGGGGGGGGTATGGCGGGGGGCACTATGTACAGGAGAGGAGTGTGGGGGTATGGCGGGGGGGCACTATGTACAGGAGAGGAGTGTGGGGGTATGGCGGGGGGCACTATGTACAGGAGAGGAGTGTGGGGGTATGGAGGGGGGGGGCACTATGTACAGGAGAGGAGTGTGGGGTATGGGAGGGGGGCACTATGTACAGGAGAGGAGTGTGGGGGTATGGCGGGGGGCACTATGTACAGGAGAGGAGTGTGGGGGTATGGACGGGGGGCACTATGTACAGGAGAGGAGTGTGGGGGGTATGGCGGGGGGCACTATGTACAGGAGAGGAGAGTGTGGGGGTATGACGGGGGGCACTATGTACAGGAGAGGAGTGTGGAGGTATGTGGAGGGGGGGCACTATGTAGCGGAGAGGAGTGTGGGGGTATGGCGGGGGGGGCACTATGTACAGGAGAGGAGTGTGGGGGTATGGCGGGGGGGCACTATGTACAGGAGAGGAGTGTGGGGGTATGGCGGGGGGCACTATGTACAGGAGAGGAGTGTGGGGGGGTAATGGCGGGGGGCACTATGTTGCGGAGAGGAGTGTGGGGGTATGACGGGGGGCACTATGTACAGGAGAGGAGTGTGGGGGTATGACGGGGGGCACTATGTAGCGGAGAGGAGTGTGGGGGTATGGCGGGGGGCACTATGTAGCGGAGAGGAGTGTGGGGGTATGGCGGGGGGGCACTATGTAGCGGAAAGGAGTGTGGGGGTATGGCGGGGGGCACTATGTAGCGGAGAGGAGTGTGGGGGTATATATGGCGGGGGGCACTATGTACAGGAGAGGAGTGTGGGGGGGTATGGTGGGGGGCACTATGTACAGGAGAGGAGTGTGGGGGTATGGCTTATGGGGGGGGGCACTATGTCCCGGGTGTCGGTCGTTCTCTGGTTGTTGTATACAGAACTCAGGCGTGATCCTCGGTTTGGGTTGTTTTCTTCCATTGAAACTACAAGTCCCAGCATGCTCTGCAGTGTTTGTTGTTTTTGTAAGAGAGGCCATGTGTTGGTGGGCGGGGCTTCTTTGCTTCTTCTTCTGGCTGTGAAGTGCAGCGAGCCCCCAGTGGATGATATGATATTGGTCTCAGTAATGGGGGGTGTCAGTAATGGGGGTCCCTGGCTGTGAAGCGGAGCGCCCCCCCAGTGGATGTCATGTAATGGGGGTGTCAGTAATGGGGGGGTCTCAGTAATGGGGGTCTCAGTAATGGAGTCCCTGGCTGTTAAGCGGAGCGCCCCCCGGTGGATGTCGTAATGGGGGTCTCTGTCAGTAATTGGGGGTCTCAGTAATAGGGGTCCCTGGCTGTGAAGCGGAGCTCCCCCCAGTGGATTTCATGTAATGGGGGTCTTAGTAATGGGGGTCCCTGGCTGTGAAGCGGAGCGCCCCCCGGTGGATATCATGTAATGGGGGGTCTCAGTAATGGGGGGGTGTCAGTAATGGGGGTCTTAGTAATGGAGGTCTCAGTAATGGGGTCCCTGGCTGTGAAGCAGAGCGCCCCCCGGTGGATGTCATGTAATGGGGGTCTCAGTAATGGAGGTCTCAGTAATGGGGGTCTCAGTAATGGGGTTCCTGGCTGTGAAGCGGAGCACCCCCCGGTGGATGTCATGTAATGGGGGTCTCAGTAATGGAGTTCTCAGTAATGGGGGTCTCAGTAATGGGGATCCCTGGCTGTGAAGCGGAGCGCCCCCCGGTGTCAATAATGGGGGTCTCAGTAATGGGGGTGTGTCAGTGAAGTGGAATGGTGGTGTCAGTAATGGGGGGTCTCAGTAATGGAGGTCTCAGTAATGGGGTCCCTGGCTGTGAAGCAGAGCGCCCCCCGGTGGATGTCATGTAATGGGGGTCTCAGTAATGGAGGTCTTAGTAATGGGGAATCTCAGTAATGTGGGGGGTCTCAGTAATGAGGGTCTCAGTAATGGGGGTTCCCTGGCTGTGAAGCAGAGCGCCCCCCGGTGGATGTCATGTAATGGGGTCATAAAAGGGGGTTATAAGGGGGTTCCCCCTTTCAACCCCC